AAATAATTATTATGGGTTTAATTTAAATAGTTATAAATATTATAAAATCAAAGATTGATTTTTCTTCAATTTTCAAGTAATGAAGAATGAATAATATATTATTTTGTTTGAAAATGACAATACTAAACCATTCAACCATTCTTAGGAACATATTTAATTTTTTGACAGATTTTTTTCGATAATTTCATGTTTTGAAGGTAAGAAGAGTTGATAGAAGAATAAGAAAAAAAGGTTTTTGTAAAAGTTATTATAAAAGAGAGATAAGAAAAAAGAAATCAAGCATATTTCATAATTTATGTTTAAATAACAAGAAATGAGTATGAGAATTTTTTTTATTTCAAAAAAATTCTTCTTTTGTTGGAAATAAAAAGAGAAATAAACAAGCTAAATTTAGCAAGAAAATTATGAAACTTCAAGAATTGAATAAATATTATAATATTTCTATAGTTTCAGCTTCACCAAAAAAAGTTTTGTAATTGAAATAAATAACAAGAACTTTGAAGAAGTAAAAGATTAAATAAATGGCTACGACGTCACAAAAAGTTCATATTGCTCAAGTAGGCGGAGTATGGACATATATTCCACCAAATACAATTGTTGAAACATTACAACAAATATTACACGAAAATGGAAATGATAAAATACGAGCTGCTGATTTACAACAAATTTTTGATAATTTTTATAATTCTTCATTGGCTAAATTATCACCAACAATTCAAATGTATTTTTCATTTAGATTTTTAAAGCAAGAATCAGCTGAAGAAAAACGTATTGGGACATTAACTATTGTAAAAAACTTAGATTTCTTAACAGTAAATTATCTGAATGATTTTGCCAGAATAATAGATAATTATGTCCCTGATTGGAGTACTTGTGATTCTTTTAGTAATAAAGTACTTGGACCATTGGTTAAAAAAAGTGATGAATTTGCTCATAGTGTTGCACAGTGGAAAGACTCAGGAAAAGTATGGCGTATGAGAGCGTGTTGTATTGCCTTTGTTAATTTAGCTAAAGTTGGGGCAATGACAGAGTTGTCTTTTGAAATATGTGCTCACTGTTTAAGAAGTAGTGAACGATTTGTTCAATTAGGTGTTGGATGTTTATTAAGAGAAATGTCACTAATGTTTAGTGAAAATGTTGTTGAATTTATTACACAAAATTTCAGATATTTTAGTAGAGAAGGATTACGTTATTCAATTGATAAATTAAATTGTGATGTTCGTAAGAAAATATTGTCATTAGGAAAAAGAAAAGGTGCAGCTACACTCCAACAAGATATAAAAGATGAAGAAACCTTTATGACTGAAAACCAAAATTCAAAATATTCATTGTAACAACTCTTAATTTATTTAGGAAGGCTACGACTTTCGTAATTATTAATTTTGACTGTCTATCTCTCATAATAAATAATCAAAAATTTTATTATATCCTTTTTTTGTAATATAATTTTTGGTTTAATTACTCTATTAATACTTTATTTAAAACTCTCTTTATTTTTAGACTTCTAGAAATCTATATTTTTAAGATAACATAAGAATAATTGTTAAATAATAATTATAATAAAAAAGATAAAAAAAGTTAGAAACTTCTTAATGGGAGTTTGGTTAATGAATTTTTAGATTTCATTTAACTTATGTCTGATATGGAAGACACGTTTGTTTTTATGTCTTAGACTCTTTTTTAATACCTAACTATTTAAATACCATTAACTCTTCATCTAATTTTTGAGATAAATCAATCACAGTTCAATAAGACTAAAATGGTTATATTCTAAATGAACTGAGATTTTTTGTATATTATTGTTAGATGAAAAGAGACATTGTTTTAGTTTGTGTAACTATGCCAATATTATCTAAAATGTTAATGGATTTATTTAACAATAAAAAAGGTATCTTTCAAAGGAGTGTATTTAATATAATTAGAGAATAAAAAGGAATTAATAACAATAGCAAAAAACCAAAGATTGTAAGATCTACTAAGAAAAAAGGAGGAAAAAAAAACAAAAATCCTTATATTATTTTTTGTAACATGAAAAGAGAAGAAGTAAAAGCTGCTAATCCAGATTTACCTTCAAAAGATATTCTTAGTAAACTAGTAGAAATGTGGAATGCCTTAACTGAAGAACAAAAAGCATCATATAGACCAAAGCCAAGACAAGTTCCACAAAAAAAACAAGTGAAAAAAGAAGAGGAAATAGTTGAAGAAAAGAAAGAATAATTTTGTTTAAAATTAAATGTTTGAGTTTTTCTAAAAATAAAATAAGAAGAAGTATTGAAAAAAATATTAAAAGATATAAAAACAATAATTTTTTTTAAAATATTGATTTAGAGTTAACTAAAATAAATATTAAAAAAATTATTATTATTTCTCTTCATTATTTGTTTCAATGAAAGAATCTAATGATAAAATTGTTACACTTACATTTCCTTTACATTGTCTTTCTAATGCAATGTTTCTTATTAAATTAGCTATTCCTGGTGGTTGGATATGAGCAGAGTTTAGTACAATTGATTGAAGTTCATTTTGATCAATAACATCCCATACTGATTTTGAAGCTGTTAATACAAATTTAAAATCATTATCATATTCTATTTTTGTTATATCAGGAGTTGTATCTAATAAATTATGATAGTTACTTTCACCAATACATTTACAAACATTAATTACTCCATTTAACATATTATTATTATCAACTAAACCTCCTTTTTGCATAACTTTCTTTTTCATTTCATTATTACTTAAACAATGATCAAATCCTATTTCTTTAATATTTGAACTTGAAATAATATAACTTTTTATACTTCCACATTGTGCAAAATATATAACTTTGTTATAAAAAACATAAACTAATCCACTACATACATCATTCACATTCTTTTCTTTTACTTTTTCATTAAGTCGTTGGAAAGTTGAAATTAATGATTCTTCTATACTCTCTTGTACTACTTTATTACCAACTTTATTTAAGAAATAATCAACAAATTTATATGAACATAATTTAGCACTTCTTCCTCCTAAAATACCTTCAAAACTTCCAACAATAATTCCATTTGTAAAAATATTTCTTGCAACACAAATAGTACTTTTCATAGACTTTTCATTTCCACGTGAAATACCAATTCCAATAATTTTATAAGAATCAATGTTGAATAACATTTCTTCTTTTGGAGTTTGTAATAATTTTAAACCTACTTTCTTTGATTTAAATTCATTAGCATTTGCAACAATTTCAGGTATTTTCTTTATTAATTTATCGTCTAATATTCCAGTAAGTTCTAATGTTGGTTGTTTACTTCTCTGAATATTATATGTTGCAGCAATTATTTTAGTCTTTTTACAATAAGGAACAAGTCCAAAGAAATTAACTAATGAATTGCCAATAATATTAAACTCTTCTAATTGATCCCATTGAGAAAGATTTGGATATTCAATAATTAGATTAAATGACAAATTTAATTCTTTCAATTTTTTATTTAATTCTAATACATTAAATTCTCTAATTTGATTATAAGATAAGTCAAGACTCTCTAATTGTTGTAATTCTTTGATACTTTCTGGAATTACTTTAATTTTGTTATTGTTCATTATTAATACTTTCATTTGACTCATTTCACAAAACTCTTTTGGGAAAAAACTCATATTATTTGATGATGCTCGTAATTCTTCTAATTTATTTAAATACTCAAAATGTTCATAACTAATAATATGATTGTTTGATATGTCTAATATTTTCAAATTACAAAATCCACTAACTATATCAATTGGAATAGAATATATTTCACAATTAGACATTGATAATAATGTCAAATGTGAACATTTAGTAATTCCTATTGGTGGTATTCTCAATGGGTTATTATTCAATATTAATTGTTCAATAGACGTGTGGAATGTAAATTCATTGATTGTACTTATGTTATTATAAGAAAGGTCTAATAATTGAACTTTTTCACATTGTGATAAATTAGGTGTTTGAATAAATTTATTATGGTCTAACTTTAATACTGGTAAATCTGCATATTTTTGTATTGTGATTTCTGAAATTTTATTGAATGAAGCGTCAACAGAACATCTTCTTGGAATGTCTTTAATTGATGTAATTTCGTTTTTATGAAGATATAATAATGTCATTTTAGTGAGATTGAGTAATGATGGAAACTCTTCAATTGAACTGTTAATCAATTCTATATTTTCTAATTCATTGTTTATTGAAACAGAAGGGAACTTTCTATCAATTGGATCAGTAATGTTAGAACAATAAAGTTCTTTTAAATGAATGAGAGAATTAATTTCAGGAATTACTTTAAATGGATTATCTCTGAGATTTAATTTCGTCATCTTTGTCATTTTTTCAAATACCTTTGATGAGAAAGAGTCAATCAAGTTAGAATGAAGGTCAAGGATTTGAAGTTGAGAAAGTTGTCTACAGACTTCAGGAATACTTGTAATTTGATTTTCTGAAAGATCAAGGTGTGTTAATAAACTCATTTGAGGAATTGGAGTTGGGACATTATCAAATTTATTTCCTGAAAGTCTAAACTATTGTATTAATAAAGAAAAGTTTCTGGTATAATAAAATTTGTAAACAAACATTAATAATTTTCATATTAACAAGAGCCTTTGGTAAATGATCTAAGTCATTATATGAACAATCAAATTGTCTTAACTTCTCAAATGAATCAATAAATAATGGAATTTCTGTAATTCTATTATTAGAAATATTCAAATCTTGTAAGTCTTTAAGAACGGTTAATATTTGGGGAATTAAAGCTATCTGATTCCTACTAACATCAAGTTTTTTAAGATTTGTTAACTCAGAAAAAAAAATTGGTATTTCTGTTAATTTATTGTTTGAAACAATAAGGGATGTTAATGATTTAAAGGTTTTGAGTTGTTTTGAAAATACCTATATCGTTATTTTAGTACGAAAAGACAGCAATATTCAATCGAATATTCTTAAAGAAAAAAGTGATGAAATTTCAAACTATTTCATTTTCACTAAGATCCATATCATAAATTGTTGTTGCACCTGAAAAAACTTCTTTGGGTAACCCTTTCAAATTCTTAAGTCCCTAGAATGAGATTATTCTTTATTCTTAACTCGTTAATGACAAGAAAATTCAAACCTTTTGTCTTAAATCAATTGCGGAAGAATATTTCTTCATTTAAAATTATAAGATCTTTATTACTCCTAAATAACTCCAATGTTACAAACTATCCATTCTATTTTCAATAAACCCATGTAGTAGAAGGAAAAAACTTACAAAAAAGATCTTTAAATTTTCGTTTAGTAGATTAGTTTTCTATTCTTACTTTTTTTTTTCATAAAAAAATCTTTTAAACAATATCAAGAAAAATATG